TTTAAACATTTTACCATTTTCGAGTATTAAAATTTGTTCATTAATTATATGTACTGCTTATTTTCTGTAAGAATCTGTGGGAGAGACACAATATCACATTTGGATGCACTGACTGACTTGTTTCCCGGCTCTTCTGTTTCCCAAAACTTCACGCTTAACAAGAATAGGTTTCAAAGATTTGGTTGTCAGGTCACTATTTTAAATCTTAAATACTTTTTTGGAAACTGAACAGAAGCCAGCTCTTGCAACATGGAAAAGAAGGCTCATGATTGAAGCAGAGAAAAGAAAAATAAAACTGAGGGAAGACTCTGGTCAAAGATCACCATAACCACTGCCAGCTGGTTTTGTTCCAGGAAGGAACACGCCCTTGCTGGGTAAAAGGCTCAAGTTAGCCTAATTTTGATAGGAGTTGGATGGTTGAGTTCCACATTGCGTGCTTTCAGCACTCATGTCACAGCCTGTAAGTCACAGCTAAGCCAGAAATGCCAACGAAGCAACGGCTGGACATTACAGACCAGTCAGGCATCTCATCTTTCCTTGCAAAGGAATTGGACTATGCATTTCAAGAAAGAAGACTCAAAAATAGTATTGCTATTTTTATTTTTAACAATTAAAAAGGTTTATTCCAAATAAATACTTAATTTACAATATTAGCTGTTAATTTATATGCACTTTGTTCAAAATTCTGATGTAAAAATATGTTAATAAATGCAATGTGGTATCCTGGATGGATCCTGAAATATAAAAAGGTCATTAGTGGAAAAACTGGTAAAACTCAAATAAAGTCGGAAGTTTAGTTAAGTCTCAATGTTGGTTTCTTCGTTGTGACAAGGTACGATGGTCAAGGAAGATGTTAACATTTAGGGGAATCTGGCTAGGGGTATATGCCAACTCTCTGTACTGTCTTTGCAACTTTTCTGTAATTCTAAAACAATTCCAAATTAAAAAGTTTATGTAAAAATGAAGAAAAATAACTTAGAATAGATTGGCCAAAATCTTTCAATAATCATTTGGAAGATAAAACATGTGCAATTTTGTTCACTGTTTTATTTTTTTTTAATTGTTCATTTTCTCACCACTATTTTACTATTACAATTGAGACAATTATAATAAACATTATCAATAAAAATAATTTTGTCTTTCTATAATCTAATGTGTATTTCTAACTGCTTTTATTTTAAATTCCCTATTGAATAACAAGAGAGAAAATACAAAGATTACCTGATTTTATCAGTAAGCTGTTTTAGTTCAGTAGTAACCCATTTGAAAGAATTCACTTTTTTCTTTTCTTTGATGGCTGGCTGGTATGGAGATATGAACCCTCGGCTTGCAAAATGATTTGTTTTTATGATACACTCTAAATATGCTTATCTTTAGGTTCTTAAAAGGAATAAAATTATAGTTAGGTGAGTATTCAAGACATAAGTCATCTTGAATCTGTAAAGAAATATTGTTATGTAATATTTTCAAAACCATATTGTTTCAGTTTTATTGTTGTTCTTTTTTTTTTTTTTCTTTTAAGTTGGGAATATCTCCAAACATACTTACGAGCTTAAAAGTGAATTTTTGGCTAATGTGAGCTATTTGGCAATTTCTTGATCCTGGATTTCCCCACATTTCTGTTTATCATACTATAATCAAATTGATCTTATGAAATAAATTAAGCGTAATAAGACCTTGATTTGAAACACAAAATAATTAAGAAAGACTAAACTGGAGCCAAAGTACTAAACTGCAAAATTAACTAAAAGCAGTGTTTATCCTTGGAGTGACTGGAAGGGAGCGTCAAGTGAATGCATGGGCTGATGGTAAAACTCATCCTTTCATCTACTGTTTTTATAAAATTTCAATAGAAATGCCAATGGTTCTAAACACATATAGACAATTAATACGTAAGAACATAAATGAACACTTGGAAAGTAAAAGGGACAACCTAAGAGTTTGGGGTCTTACAGAAAACAGAACTAGAATGGAATAAACAAACAAAAAAGAGCTGCATAGATTTAAACGGCATAGAATTTTCTCAATTCTCAAAAAAGGCCTTACTGAACGGGGAAAAAAAAATCATTGAGTTTTAGAAAACTTTCTTGGGTACAATAGACATTAATTTTGGAGTAGTGCTCAAGAGAATAAATTTTCCCTCCACGAAAGGACAGTATCTAGAACGACATTCAAGCTAATTTCAATGACAAGGAATAGTAAATATTACCTGTCACTGAAACTCTTATTTTTAAACCTTCCATCCTGGACCTATGAATGTTATAAACATATATGCTACATACTATAAACATGTATAAACATACATACTATATATACACATACATACATATATATATATATGTATATATAAACATATACAGGGTCTATTTACACACACACCCTATGTTAAAGGTTTCTAAAACGTCTAAGGCAAACCACGAAAATGACAAGAGTGACTACCTCTGGGCTGCAGAAATCTGGGTAAATTTTTATTCACTTTGCTAGAATTTTCTATTATTCTCCAAACTTTTTACTATTGCAAATTATTTTCATCAGTATACAATTTTTGGATGCCACAATACAGAAATATGTAAAAATATGCACATGGGAGGAAATTATTTCTTACTGTTTTTTTTTATTCTTAATCTGCTGAAACAAGTCTATATCTTCTTTAGAATGAAGAAGTTAAGGTTTATTTTTAAAGCCAGTAGTTAGAAGCAAGAGAATACTAGCAGAGAAGGTTATAGAAGATTGAGAAATCCTGACCCTACTAGATAGTGAAGTTTGTTACAGGTATAAAACAAAATTATTTAAAATAGTTTATTTAAAGTGCATATATAGAATCGTAAATCAAAGGGAAAAAAAAGAGAGTCTCAAATAAATTCAACTATTTTTGAGGAACTTAAGATAATGCAGTAAGCTTTCCAACACAAAGGAGTTATAATTTAATACATTTGGTTGAGATAGCAGTTTGGAAGGGAAAAAAAAGAAGAAAAGAGGAAGTTCAAGCCAGTAAAAGATGATTCACTAAAATAAACACCAGAAGGATTAATGAGTTAAAACCAAGTAAAACACTAAATTATGAGAAAGTCAAATTAGCAGGGAATAGAGTAGACAACTCAAGAGGTCATGAACTTTTGACGTATTAGAGAAAATAAAAAGGAAAAGATGGTCATATTAACATACACAGATGCAAAATCTCTGTACAAGGGAAAAAAAGGAGCAAAATACTGTGGAAATATTTACATCAAAATTTTGATAGGCGGTTAATATGTATGTCTAATTAGAAAGAGTTTATTCAAAATTATAAAAAATCAGGACAGACAAACAGGGGAAGTTATGAATAGAAATTAGCAAAAGATAAAATTAGAAGTAATGAAAATATGCAGGAAGAAGTTCATTCTTATTAGTAAACCAGCAACACATTAAAATAAATTTGAGATACTGTTTTACAACTAATAAACCAGCAAAATAAATTTTAAAAGCTGGAACGCTAGTAAGAGTGTGGACAACTGGTACACTACACTTTTCATTGTGTACATTTATGACTCATTTTGAAAATAATGTGGCAATAGGCAGCAAGGGTGACAGAGATGTTCATTCTCTTTAGCTGAGAAATCCCACTATATGAAGTTTGTACTGAATATAGAATTCCTTAGAAATACAAGAGATCTGCACAAAAATTTTGCATGTTCGTTCTATTGTAAAAAAATGGAAATAACCATGTTAAATAATTGTATGATAACAAGTCAATACAGATATACACAAATTACTTAGAAGTAGAAAAACTGCCTATTTGTAATAAATGAAAAAAATATATAAAATATATGCTATATTATTTTCATTTATGTAGATAATATAAATAATATATTCTACAAAATATAAAAATTACTGATGTGTTAAAGCAGTAACAATGTCAGTGTTTTCTAGTTTAAAAATGTTTAAACCTAAATGTTTCTGATAACTAGCATGAAGATATGATAGCCAGATACAAAAAAGTCATGGTTTTATAAAATAAGAAAGAATTTTCTTTGTGATGTGAAAAAATAAATTTACAGTCAGAGCACCTTGTGTGTGTGTGTCTGTGTGTGTGTGTGTGTGTAACAAAAGTGTACCTGGTATACCTCTATGTCTATCACACACTTCTCTTCAGAAGTAAAGATATATATAAGTAATTACCTGTGTTCTGTGGACCTCACAGATCACTAAGAAGGTTAAGCATGTGTGAAAATACCTATCCCTGTCCATACCTGCCTGGCTCTGCTCACAAAATGTTCTTTCAATATAAAAGGGAAATAATTGCAAGGACATACTAAGTTGTAATGTTAATAAATGCAATACAAATACTCTTTCTTCATCTTTGAAATGAAGGAACTAGAACTGATGATTCTGGTGGGCCCCACCAACTCTATAAAATCCTATGGAACAGGTGAAATATGGCAAAAGGCAGATGTCACTGAAGAGCTGTTACCTGAAGATCATAAGCGTATGGATCTCCTGGGAAAGCATACACTTAAGAAAAGCTTTAAAATCCCTCTGTGACCTTTCCTTGATTTCATGATGTGCCATGCACCCTCGGGGGATGTATCTTTAACTGACTTTCTATGACCCAGGTGGACTAACTAATTCTGCAGTAACATACAGTGCTTTATTTCTGTTTTTCTGGAATGATGGATAATGTTTCTCACTTAGGACTACACTGTCTATTTGAGAAAAAACATGTGTCCCTTTTTTTCTTCTCTATGCTTAATGCACAGATAAATAATTATGCACAGATACATACTGTTTCCCATACACCAGCTCATTGGAGGACAAAGCACACTGGGCAGCCTATGACATTTGCCCAAGCTAGGGCTTGGCTATAAAGCTGTGTTGTGTTCAGGTGGCAAATTTCACAGTCCCTATTTAAAAGGTTCAGAGAGGTTTCGCACACCTGTACCTCCCCCAAACTGGATGTTTTTCTCTGCACCTGTGAACACTGGAATCCCTGACTCCTAAGAGTTTCTGTGCCCAGAACATACCTGTTTCCTCTGCATCCTGAATGGCACGCTTATTCCTGCTGTTCTGACCCGAGTGGCTTTCTCCTGGAGCTGGTGGCGGGAAGATGCTCTAGGAACAGAAAGACCCCAGGTTATTGCAAAGACAACTGAGGTGGGGGAGAGGCAGTCGTGCATACAGAAACGTGCCCAGGGCTGCAGCTGCTGCAAACTCACTCTCCGTCCTGCGGTGACAGCTGGAGCTTCCTGCAGGGTGGCCGTGGGGGCTGCTGCTCCTGCCTCAGGGCGGGCTGGCAGCTGCTCAGCTGGGTGGCCCTGCAGTTCCGCCCGCAGGCTCTCCAGGTCCGCTTGCAGGGCGGCCACCCGGCAGAAAGACAGCACAGTGAGGCAGCAGGCCAGCAGGGCCAGCAGCAGAGTGGCGGCCAGCAGCTTTCCATCTTTGGGGAGGCGGCTGGAGTGGCTTTCCTTCTGTGGGAAGATGGGCACACACTCCTTCAGTTTCATCTCTTCTCTTTTCCTAAGGCAAGAAGGAAGGCTTGACTGCTGCTCTCTCTCTGTGGAGACATCCATTTCACTACTTGAACTTTGAAGGATGGGGCCTTTAGAATAAATGACCACAGGGGACGGGTCATTTCCTGTTATCTGCTTTGGTTG